CTGTAGTTATCTACGGGCTCTTAGTTTCTAGCTCACTTTGAAATGCTTTATTTGAAATGTGTTTATGTTTTTTTGAAAGTATTTTTGAAAAGTGCCTTTGTTTAGGCGAACTTTGTAATGATTCTCGTCTCTATAAGAATGCATACAAAGTGTTGACTTTTGAAAATATTTCATGGAAAAGTGTTGGTGATTTTGAAAGATGTTTTGAAATGTTATGAGCAAGAAACTACGAGCATTATACCTACTCAAAAAGTCTTAGTTATTTTCCCCCTCCTTTAGATATTTATATCTTACCATTGATTGGTAGGAAGCCTTATCATTGGATGTGACGGGACAGGCGTGAGTCGTCGTGTAGTCGTAGAAGGAAATATTGTAGGATACCTTAGCAATTTGTCGTAAGGGACTAAGATCGTTTACGAAGGCAACATCGAAGGATCATCGAGAGACTATGATCTTGTATTTGAGGGTCATTCTAAAGTATCCCATGTTCAAGGGACATGACTATTTTTATCTGAGGCAACAAGTGTGAGTTACCCTAGAGGTGCGCGTGTGCGAGTATATTGATTTCATGCATTTTTGTCTTGAATTAGGATTGTCTACTTGTTGATTTTAAGTTTTTCCACACACACCCTAATTACTAGCATTTTATATAAAAGCAATAAATTGCGGAAAATAAATGTCCTACACTATTACATAATTTTTTGGGGATGGGGATACAAGTTTATGAATGGGGGATGAAAGCAAATAAATCCTAATTACTATTACAACCATATTGAATAATGAAGAAAATATATAGAAAATGTAAAAACAATGTAAGAGAAAGGAAAAAAAATATTTTTAACCATTATATGTTGACACATGCATCTTTGTATTGACACACAACCTTTCTTGTTCCTGTAAAACCAAAATTAGCTCAGTATGAGTCGATACATAAGGGTGTGTGTCGACTCATTTCTTGTTTGTGTCGACACATTCATGTTTAATGTTAATTCATACACCTTTGGTCTTTCTATTTTTGGGTCTGGATAGCAGTATGTATCGATGCATAAGGCCTTGTGTCGACTCATACCCCGTTCTATCACTAAAATGAGTCGACACATGTGAGTATGCATCGACTCATGCTGCAGTTTTTTGCCTTGAACATTGTTCTATTGTGTGTATAGGCCAGTTCTCAACACAGTATTGATAAGAATGAAAAGCAAGGAAATGGTTAGCTTCAAAAGGAAATGGTTACTACATCTATCTTCAATAATGAGTTACTTATGATGTTTGAAATGAAAAGTTTAAAGTCAAGAAAGCTTACCTTGAAGCTGAAATTTGTGTTTTGAGTTTGAACTACTGTGTTGGCTATTTTTGAGCTTAGGAAATGGTAATAGTGATGTTACAAAAGTTGTTCTTGTGTTTGAACAACTCCTATAAGATGTATGTGGAGTGTTTGGATGGTTTGTTTGGACAAAACTTTTCAAAGTGTGAGAGGTTCAAAGATTTGGACTTAAAAACTCAAGAGTGAAGGCTTTATGGACAGTTATGGCTTTTTTAGAGTATGATATTTTGAGGGCTTGTCTACATAACAAAACTTCTGGCCCTTTTATCTTGCAAATGACCTCTCTATTTATAGAGAAGGTTGGAGACTTGAAACAAATCAGATTTTGAAATCACATGTTATGGCTATCTTGCTTGTTTTTGAAGTAAGCATGAAGAACATGTTTCCAATGTTTTTACCAATCTATATAAAGTGGTTGATCACTCTAAACATGTTTGTTATGACTTGTAGGAGTTGAGTGTGATCAGAACAACAAGTTAGAGGCTCAAGAAATTGACTTTATGATTAAAGTGAACTTTTCAAGAATGGATATGTTACTTTCATTCAAAAATGGAATGATCAATTGGACAAAGGTTCAAACACTTGGATCATAGTTTAATCAGTTGTGTAAGCATTCAATTAAGGAGTGATATACAAGTTTCAGGCCTGTAAAGTGAAGATTATGCAGCATAGCTAGGATTTTGGTTCATTATTCATCACAAATCTGCCTTGTAAATCAAGTTTGAAACCCTAACTTCTTGCCTTTGATTCTCTTAGCTCAAGTATGATCTCAATGAGTTCTTGAACATTTTAGAAAGCTTTTAACATCCTCCACAACCTTAATATTTTCTATTTTTGAAGAATCCAATTAGAACTTGATGAAAATTGGCCAAGAAGTTGGGATAAAAATCTGACCAAATCTGCTGAAAATTTCTCTAAGTGTTTATACAAAAATGCCATGACTTCATGAATTTATAACTCAAAATCCAAGCACTTCTAGGTCTTGATCTGCAAATAAAAGTTGTAGATATCATCAATATCTACAGCTTTCATGTTGAAAGTTTTCTTTGAATCATCTTGCATCTTGGTGAAAGAATGGCACGGAGTAATGAAATTATCATGTATAAAAACACTTAGAAAAATTTCGAAGTCTTGAAAAGTTTGACTTTTCACATTGACTTTTGACTTTCTTGACTTCTTGATGATCAAGCTTGATATTCTTGAATGTCTTGATGAATTTTGATCTTTGAGACTTAAATTTGATCAAAAAGTCAAAGTTTAACTTTACAATGTACATTTGACTTTTTCATCAGTTGACCAAATTTCATCTATCAATTCAATGATCTTGAGAAATATCTTGAACCATGAAATTAGGTCAATATGTTGTATTTGAATCCTTGAGATTGTACTTTAAGCCATTAGATCATGTATTAGGTCACAAAAGTCAATGATCATTCGTTCTTAGTCAAAACCCTAATTTATGGTCTCAGTGTTTCGGAGGTGATTTTGTCTGATCAATTCCTTGAGAACCCTTGAGTATTGGAGGTCCTTTGTGAAATGTATTGAGAAAAGAGAGGACAAATTTTGGTGTACAACACATGCATTCTTGAGATTGAAAGACATGCCTTTATAACAAAAATTCCATGTTCTGTCTTGAATTTTCTTTTGATGCAATTGAGAGGAAATCTCGGGATTATGTTGTAGCCTGAGTATGCATCCATGAATGAAAAAAGTTTTAACCCTAAAGAGTTACTGCCAATCTTGTCCATGTTTGGTAGTGGGCATGTATTTTGGGAAGTCTCGATTTAGGTCCAAATAGTCGACACACATATGCCACTTGTTGATTTATTTTTGTACCAGAGCATTGTTGGAAAGTGATGTAGTGTATTTTTCTTCGATTATAAATCCAGCTCTTAGAAGCATTTAAACGACCCCCCTGAATGCTCCAACCTTCTCATTTGACTGCTTCCTCTGATTTTAAGACAAAAATGGGACATTTTTCTTAAGGGCTAACATGGCAAGCCACCATAGGACTAAGCCCTGGCATTTCTTTAGTTGACCAAGCAAATAAATTATGGTTTTTCTGTAAGCATGTCATGAGTTTCTCTTGTACGAATTGGGAGAACCCTGCCCCAATTATGTTGATATCCGACATATCATTTTTGATGTAGATTTAGATGAAATCTAAAAGGAGTTTAGACCTCTATACCTTTATTCTTGAACTTATTTGTCTCCCGTTCCCTCCGAAAGTTTATTATTCTACTCGAGTGTCTAGGTCTATCAACTCTCCATGATTTACTCTTGAAACCGTGTTTTCCTCTGACACACGTTGCTCAGCTTAGAGGTTCATGAAACACGTGTAAGATACAAGAAAATAAGATTTGAGCACCACGACCGATCTACACTTGTATGGAACTTCACTTTCATGTGTATTATTAATAATATTACTCATAGGGCCGATAATTTTGAACTTCCCAAGATATAATTTTAAATATATATGCACACAATTACTAAGAATCTTTCCTCGATGATTCTTTTATTTTCTTCATCCTAAAAACCACAAAGAATTCAATGTACGCCTAGAGTTTTCTGTTAGTACTGTAAAATATTGGGAGGTTTCCTCCATGATAGGGCTGCAATACTGGTTCTAAGCCTATATCATTGTACATTTCTGCATACATGATGTGCACAAGCTTCCTTGGTCCACTAGCACACATTGAACCTCATGGTCTTCTATTGCCACTCTTACCAGTATGAGTACATGGTGGTTTGATACATCGTTAACTAGTTCGTCACCATAGAACGATGATGATGGCCTCTCATATGCTAGTAAGTCTTTAGGAAATACCCTTTCATTGAATCTTTTATGTGTTTTTTCATCAGAAAAACCATATCTCTTTGTTTGAGCGAGTAGTATCACCATAGACAATGAATCTGAGTCCCACATTGTATTTAAGGGTAAATTTTATGGTTAGATGTTCTCAAACAATACACAATTGTCTGTCAATGCAAATTATAATGCGAATGTGATCTCATTTATTAAAGATCCCTTCAAAATGTCAAACTCAAAATATCACATAAAATATTATCACAGAGAAACTCCTATGTTTTAACAACCATGATTTGAATGGAATATAACTTTAATTTAAAAAATTGTCTTATTTTGAAATCTTTTAGTGAATGTCACCCTTATTGACTTTTAATAACATGATAAATCCCTACTAGTAACATATAGTTTTTTAAACAAACCTTCTTTAGTTCGAAAAGCTTGAAACAAAAAATAAATAATAATTTAATGTATATAAGTAGATGTTTGACGACACCTTTTTGTTTCATTAACTAATTAACAATATTATAAAGTAATGTTCATTCACCAACCGAAAGAACAAGAAGAAAAAAAGCCAAAACACTCACCTAACACATATAGCTAACGAAAGGGAAAAAAAGCCAAAAGTGATTAGAAGACCTGAGTTAGAAGCGTAAGCGTTGAAGTGTCCGAAGCCCAACCTAACCCAAGTAGACAAAAAGACAAAATTACCCTTTTCTATTTTTCCCTTTCCTTATACATATATTACATAAGCATAAGAATTCTCGTCTTTCTGTTGTTTCTGCTACGCGTGTTTGTTCCTTTGTCTATCTGTGTGCTCTCTGTCTCTGCCACACCATCGCAGACACAACGCTAACAGAGAAAACTGTAATGGCGAACGCTACCTTGGAAGATGTTCCCTCCGTCGATCTCATGACCGAGCTACTTCGTCGCCTCAAGTGTTCATCCAAACCCGACAAGCGTCTTATTCTCGTTGGTAATTCATTCATCTCTCTCTCTCTCTCTCTGCCGTTTTATTCTATCGACATTTTGGGTTTTCTCGTTTCTTATTCAGATCCGAAAATTCGATATAAAACTGTGTTGAAATGGTTGGTGTTTTGTTTCAGAATATGATGTTTGTTGCTTAGGGATGTTGATGCGGTTTTTAGGGTTTTTTATGTTACTCCACGGTGTTATCAATTTTCTGTTTTATTTATTTTGTTGTATAATAGGGATTTCAGTGAGAACTTTTAGTAGTTTCAGTTAATACAATTTGGCACGATGAGCTTTAAGTTTAATATTCAGTTACTGGAGAAGATAATTAAATATATTTTCCTTTTTTTTTAATGTTTTTTTTTGTTGTCTTAACCCTACTGTTCTCCCTTAGTAATCCGGAGTTCTGAGTTCTACATGTAGATAAGTAAATTTTGGTCGAATTTGGGTTCTCCGACAAGATTTGTTCTGTAGTGTTGTTTTTGGTCTGTTTTTCAGGGTTTTTTTTCTCCACTTTTGTTGGTTATTTTAGTTTACCATTACTGTTTTTAATGAGTATCTGTTTGGGATTTGGTTCCTTTATAGTGAGGATAAAATAAGTGATCTCTAAACAGTCAATGAGTTAACCAATGATTGATGTTTAGTACATACGCATAAATAACCGCCCACGTGTTGTGTTGGGATATCAACCGTTGACTTATTCGTTAATGGTTGAGATCATGTTTGTCAGGATCGTGCTATAGCTGCTGAGAGGAAAATGGCGGTGCAGTATATGCTAAGAGGAAAAGTGCTGGATTGTGGGATCGTGAGATCCGCGTGACCCGATTCCATTCCTTGTTTGTCTTAGAGTCTAGTGTTTTGAATATTCGAATCATACATTGCTACTCAAGAGTTAAAATGAAAATTTTGATGTGTTCATAGTTCGTTCCTATATTTAAAATTGCGCCTATAGCATCATTTTAATTTAATTTGCTACCATATATCTTATATCAATGCTCTTATACTTATTGAGTTGTTGAACTTTTTAGGTAGGTTGTTCTTCAAATTCATCTCCGTCAGCATATTTAGTATTCATGCTTTGAGAATCCATTTGTCAATACATATTTAAAATAGATTCCAAAATCCAAGTAGAGTATAACTTAAAAATGTTAATGCAGGCCCACCTGGATCTGGAAAAGGCACCCAGTCGCCAATCATTAAGGATGAGTACTGCTTATGTCACTTGGCTACCGGTGATATGTTGAGAGCCGCTGTAGTAGCAAAGACCCCTCTTGGTATTAAGGCGAAAGAAGCTATGGAAAAGGTAAGGTCTTTTTGTATACAATAATACCTGTGCTTCTATTGTTTCACACGATGTGTTTTGATAGAATTTCTAAGCTCACATTATGCTATAATTTTTCAGGGAGAACTTGTTTCTGATGACTTGGTTGTTGGCATTATTGATGAAGCAATTAAAAAACCATCATGTCAGAAAGGTTTCATTCTTGATGGTTTTCCAAGAACTGTGGTCCAAGCACAGAAGGTATTGCATTGTTTGACATCTGAGCTACTCAGTGAGTTTCTTTTGTTTGAAATATTGGGATTGTGTGAAAAAAGCCGAATGACTTGAATTGCACGCTGTTCTACTACTTACTATGAACCTTGCTTTTTTTCTCCTTCGTTGTAGCTTGATGAGATGCTGGAAAAACAAGGTACCAAAATTGACAAAGTGCTCAATTTTGCGATTGATGATGCAATCCTTGAGGAGAGAATTACTGGACGCTGGATACACCCTCCTAGTGGCAGAACCTACCATACAAAGTTTGCTCCTCCCAAGGCTCCTGGTGTTGATGATGTAAGATTACATCTATAATTAAGCCATGCAAAATGTTAATTGCGTTATATCAGGTTTAAATAAACTTTTCAATAAGCACTTGTACAATTAGAAAAGTTGAAATGATCTTATAATCGCTGGGAGTCTTTTAATATAAGCTATTGCACCTTGACTTTTATCATACCTCCCTTTTGTAACTTCTTCATGAACATCTACTATTATGTCTGGACTTTTTTGTGAGGTAGAAATCAAATACTTATATCAGTTGTATGAGCTATAATAAGCTTGTCCAAACTCGATCTAAGTATGATTTTTTCTTATGTTAAGCATTTGCAAGACTTCTTTAAAAGCTTTTAAAAGTGTCTTTCGGATTTGATTGTAAACAATGAATGAAATGAAGTGCAAAAATATATTGTTAAGAATTTTTTTTTGGGAAATGAATTTGGTTCCGAGGGAACTGATGGTTTTAGTTGCTGTCAGTACTTCAATTGAAGTGGTTTCCCTATTTAAATGGTTAATTCATACTACAAGCGTGTTTGTTATTTTAAGTTGAGCTCCCATGACTACTTTCATACTCAAATCTGTCTTTTTCAGGTTACTGGTCAACCTCTTATTCAGCGCAAGGATGACACTGCAGCTGTTCTTAAGTCAAGACTGGAGGCATTTCACAAGCAAACTGAACCGGTAAGATTCTGAATCCATTTTCAACAAAAGTAAACTTTAAACTTCAATTATACAATGGCTTTAAGCAATTATTTTGTTTTAGTGTTTTCCTTTTTGATTCAGTATTTGAAGCTTTGAGCACACCTCATTTTGTTTTTAAAACTACAGTTGTTGATTTCAAACTATCCCCCAATCTTGTCCATTTCCAAATTTATTTTTTTACTTTCTTTTGTTTTTACGTTTAGATTTATGCAAGTGTTGATGATGCATTGAAATATGAAACCTTAGGTTTCGTTCACTTTGTGAAGACATTTTCCATTTCCATTTCCCTAAATCTTGTGAATGGTAGGTCGTTTCCCGTAAGCAATACGCTGTATGGCTCGAGTACAGTGTCAAAGAGCAAGGGCTACTGCATCGCCGTCCGGATGTAGTGAAAAATAAGCAAGGGTTCCCACTTCCCACATTTTCGCATTGGTTCATGAAATATAGTCACACTCACTGGAAAATCTATGGAAATAGTGGATGTTATGGTTAAGAGGAAGATCAAAGGGGATATACAAAATTGTGCAAATTATAGGGGAGTTAAGCTTATGAGTCATACCATGAAATTTGGAAAAGAGTGATTGAACGAAGATTAAGAAAAGAGACTCAAGTTACTGAGAATCAATTTGGTTTTATGCCGGAAAGGTCGACCATGAGAGCGACTTATCTATTACGGCGGGTAAGGAGTAATATCAAATGGACCAACAAGACTTGCACTTGATTTTTATTGACTTGGAGAAGGCGTATGATAGAGTGCCTAGAGAGATTCTGCGGAAAGCTCTAGAGAAGAAAGGGGTTAGGGTTGCATATGTTCGAGCTATCCAAGATATGTATGAAAGGGTATCGACTAGTGTTAGGACACATGGTGGAGAGACAAACGATTTTCCTATCATAATTGGTTTGCATCAAGGGTCAACCCTGAGCCCTTACCTTTTTACCTTAATTTTGGATGTACTCACGGAACAAATCCAAGAGATAGCGCCGAGATGCATATTTTTTGCAGATGGTATAATCCTCCTTGGAGAGTCGAGGGAGGAGTTAAATGAGAGGTTGGAGACTTGGAGAAGAGCTTTAGAAACACATGGATTTTGCCTAAGCAGAAGTAAGTCGGAGTATATGGAATGTAAGTTCAACAAAAGAAGCAGGATTTCTAACTTAGAGGTGAAAGTAGGAGACCATATTATCCCTTAAGTCACACGGTTTAAATATCTTGGGTCCGTAATACAGAATGATGGAGAAATAGAAGAGGATGTAAATTATCGTATTCAAGCTGGATGGATGAAATGGAGAAAGACATCGGGTGTTTTATGTGATGCAAAGGTACCGCTCAAGCTAAAGGGAAAGTTTTATCGAACTGCGGTAAGACCTGCGATTTTGTACGAAACAAAATGTTGGGCGGTTAAGAACCAACACGAGAATAAAGTAGGTGTAGCGGAGATGAGGATGTTGCGGTGGATGTGTGGTAAGACTCGACAGGATAAATTAGAAATGAAATTATTAGAGAGAGTGTTGGAGTAGCGCCTATTGTAGAGAAGATGGTGGAAAATAGACTTAGGTAGTTTGGGCATGGAGAGAGAAGACCTGTAAATTCTGTAGTAAGGAGAGTAGACCAGATGGAGAGAAGACAAATAATTCGAGGAAGAGGAAGATCAAAAAGACTATAAAAGAAGTTATCAAGAAGGATCTCGAAATTAATGATTTGGATAGAAGAATGGTCCTTGATAATGAAAGTTGATCCATATAGCCGATCCCACCTAGTGGGATAAGGCGTAGTAGTTGTTGTTGTTGTTGTATTTCCCCTGTTAATTTTACTCTCTAACAACAAACTAAACTTTTAGAAGTGAACAATTGTATATATTGTTTTAAAACAATGAAAATGTTTATTTTCATTATTTCTAATCATGCATCATCTCTAACTAGCATTTCATCTGCTCTACATCACGGGACCCCTATATCAATCTATTTCAGTTTTTATACAGAATGTCATGATTTTTTGCTTTTTAGATTTAGATCTATATGATGTTAATAATATACTTATCAACTAGTCTGAAAAATATTTTAATTGAGTTCATGCTTTCTAGTTCAGCTAAGCAGTTTTCTTTTGATTTGTAATGTTTTATGAGTAGATTTGAAACATTTATGGATAGTTTTTCTAGTCTTATTTTCTTTTCCTAACATTTTTTAGAATTTTCTCTGTAACTTGTTTTCATGGTCTTAATGCAGGTTATTGATTACTATACAAAGAAGGGCGTTGTTGCTAGTCTCCATGCTGAAAAACCTCCCAAAGAGGTGACTGTGGAGGTCGAGAAAGTGCTCTCGCAATAGAGTTGGATCCTCGGGTTCGAACTGTTGATTTTTTAGGAACTTAGTCTGCAATTTTCTAGTAATACATTCTGAAATTTACACACCCTTTTCAACTTTGCTGCAAATGCCGGGGTTTCTCAAACTAAGATTTGAAGAGTTAAATAAATTTTTTATTGAATGTAGCATGTTTACTTCTCAATGAATTGTCTATTGACCATTAATCATCTTTATTTGTGTAATATTTTTTACTTTAATTTTACAAGTCAATTGAGACAACAGTTATTTTATTAGGCAACTAAAACTTGGTAACACGCATAGGGTTTGGGTTAACTCAACATGGTAAGTTTTGTAGGAACTGGAAACAGGTCACACAATTTAACAGCTCAGAAAAATAATATTATAGTGTTAAGAATCAGTTGGTTGTTTTTATAGGTGGCTGCTGCTTAACTTTTGAGGAATTACTTAGGCACTCTAATGATTGCTACTATATCCTAGAATCTGAAGGCAATTCGGATTTTTATAGGGTGATTTTTCACCTCTTAGGGAATGGGATTAGTGATCCCAATTATAGTTGTTGAACTTAACTATACTTGTTGCAAAGAAAACGATCTGAAACTAAACTAGAGGGAGATTTTTAAATGCTGCATCTACTTTTCTTTCATTTATGCAGCAGTATTATAAAATTTATTAGATACTTCATTTAATAACTTATATTTTCATATAACTTACTCTTTTTCATATTATTTATATATATATATATATATATATATATATAATGTTTTGATTGCATAATTATAGTTGTTGATTTTTAAAAAGAAGTTGTAAGTTGTTCCACCTAACAACATCTTTTAATTCAACTATTAGATTGATAAAATTTAATGTTTATAACGAGTTATTGAACATAGTAATTCTATGTAACATTATTTTTGGAACTGAATTACTCGTAGAGTAAGTCGATTCTTATACAATTATATATATATATATATATATATATATATATATATATATATATATATATATATATATATATATATATATATATATATATATATATATATAAAAGATTAACCTTCTCTTTGTAATTAGCTCCTCAATTGCATCTTTCAAGTGCATGCAATCATCCGTATTGTGTCCAATGCATCCGTATTGTGCCTAATGCACCTGTATTGTGCCCATGGATCTTATGGAAGGTCCTAGTCAATTTCTTTACTAGGTAAATATTTTTAATTTCGAATTCTTTGAAGTCAGTGTTAGCACACTTCTGCAATATCTTCTCCCTTGATGTGTTCAGGAGAGTGTAAGATGAGAATTAGTTATGAGGCCTCCATTCTCTTAAGATCACTTTTTTAATTGAGACAACAGTTGAGAGGGTCATCGAGGGACTAGTGATCTCTTAGACTCAAGGACAGCCACTAAGAATTCTCATGTTTCGAGAATTGTGACAGTTATTTTCTGAGGCAACCGAGTGAGGTATATCCTAAAGGTGCAAGTGTGCGACAGTGCTTTTTCAGATATTTGTCTTGAGATTAGTGATTTACAGATTGATTGATTTATTCTTGTCATGCACGCCTAAGTTACTAACAGTTATATACAAGCATACAAGGAATATAAAAGCAAGAAATAAAGGGTCCTACGCTATTACAAGAATTTGGTGTAGATACATAAATAATGAACAAAAAATAAAGTGCGGAAATTGTAAACCCTAATTAAGCTATTACAAACCCGCAGTTACATAATAATAAAAAAGTAATCGAACGACAAAATAATAACGCGCGAGAATCAAAACTGGAAAAAAGTTCAAAATCCTAAAAAATCTAATTTGCTCATTGAAAATATTTTTGAGATTTTTTATAAAAAAAATTTGAAATTTAATCTAATCTTCTAATTAATTTTAACTAGTGAAAATTAATTAAATTAATTAATTGGCAAAAAAATTAAGAAAAAAAACTAAGTCTTGATTTTTTTGTGATTATTTTCTGATTTTAGGATTTTGAAAAAATGATTTAAAACAAAAGAAATAAAAACTAAATAATAATTAAAAAATAGAGAAATTGAGAAATAGGCCTGAGGAGGGTGTGAACCCAAATTGGGGGTTGCAAGCTGAAATTGTTATCCAAGGCCCAGAAACTGTAAGCTCATAGCCAGCGTGTGGTTCAGTGTGGAGCAAGCTGGGAGATCCATCATGTCGCTGTCATCCTGAAATGTTAGATCTGGTGTTGATTGATCTGATGGTGATGATGATGAGGTCTATGGTATGCACGTTGAGCAACAACACATGGGATCTGGAAACAAATGTTAGGAAAAATAATATGCAGGAGGCAGAGGTCGAACCCCTTACCTCCCCACACGCGTGCGCCTTAAACCCTTCAGCCTTGCCATCTGAGCCAACTTAACATTTCTTATATAAAACAAACATAATATAATATATTTAATAAATGGTCAGTGTTTAAGACAGAAAACACGCACAATTCAAATGGTCCACTCCTGATGTGCCACGCCATCGTCTTCCCCCCTGGCTGTCGTCTTAGCCAAAGAACTTTTACCCACAGACATGACTGTTGCTAAAAGACCTGCATATTTCCAAAATCTCAACCAAGCAATATAAATTTAATCCAAATACATGGATCAACTGGGTTTGATCTCGTGAGTACAATGGTACTCTTCTTTTGGCCTAATTTTGCCGGTAATGGAAAACCCTAAAACAAACCTCAAAACCCTAACAGTGGTAATTAGTCATACACGCATCAAAACAAGCAATTAATCATTCAAACATGTTCTAAATGATCATATAAACATGAATGCATACTCAAAATTCATTTATAATGCGTATATTATCAAAATCGAATTCAAGAACAAGAAGCAAACTGTGATGCTGTAGATGCTTGTTCTGGATGCTTTGATGCGTGAGAACGATGTGGTTAGCTTCAGAAACTCCTCAGGAATGAATTGCAAACGTCTAATTTCTTTGAATCCTTCTGCAAATGTCAAACTGATTCCCACTTTTGTCAAAAATCTTGAGCTTCTTGTGTGTATTCTATGCGGCCAACCCTTGTCCTTTTGATCAGGCAAGGTTATGAATATATAATAGAATGTATTAGGTCAATAAAACTGGATGCAATCTTGAAGATTTGTGAGAAAAAGATTTGATTTGCAATTTGTATTTTAAGTTTCCAAAATTCGTCAAAACATGCTCTTTTCATTCCAATCAGCCTTTACACGAAATCTTCACTTGCTCATCAGATCTTAGACTCATTATATGGTCCTAAAACAAATCTTTGGATTTTATTTCATTATTTTAATATTTGATTTGATTTATTTTGATTTAAATGAATAAAAAATCAAAATAAATAATAAAAATAATGAAACAATGCATGAGTGAGCTCAGGGATCGTGGGCCATGTTAAGAACAAGTTTCAAGCATGAAAACATGGGCCTATTTGGAGAGAAAAAATCAAGTTTGGTCAATATCGGCTTCATGCATATTTCTAAAAATGGGTCATCTTTAGAAATCCATATCTCTCTCATTTTTAACCCTATGGGGGTGTTCTTGGACTTTTTAGAGATCTTAGGATGTCCTCTATGCAACCTTTTTCGTTTCATCTCAATTGGATCTTCCATATTCATGTAAGGAGCTTTGACCTAAAAGGTGTTTTTGTTGACCTTTTGAAAGGACCTATAATGCATGAGCTTGTATCTTTTGATTGAGGCATTTCTTGGACTTGAGGGATGGAGAGAAGTTGTAGGGAATTGAATTATATTCAAAATGAGCCTTGGAGGAAAAAATTCTGATAAAGTATGAGAAAGTTATGCCTGGTGAAAGTTTGGTTGACTTTTCCTATAGAAACCCTAATTTGCCATTTTTGACTTTTGATAAGTTAGGAGCATTTCTTGAGGAATCGTGATCAACCCTTGATCAAATGATGGATAATACTTCAAAATATTGATGTTGATCAAAAATATTGAAGTTTGACTGTATTTGGGCCACAATTGACTTTTGACCTAGTATAGTTGATTTCCAGACATTTAAACAGTTGACTGAGCAAACTTATTGCTCAAGGCATGAAATTTGGTATGGATGATCTTGAGGACATATTAGGACAATGGAGAATATTTGGGATCCTTTGGACTCATACATCTTGCTTGAAATTGAAACCCTAGTTTGAGGTTTATTGCCTTGGGAGGAGAATTTGTCTGGTCAATTCTTGGTCATCCTTGAGCAATTGAGGACCTCTAGAGGCATGTCTTGAGTGAAGATGGAAGGGAAAATTTTAGAGTACAACAACTTATCCTGTTCAATCTTCTTAAACCTGAGAATGTAGATTGGCCGATCTGCCTTTCGTGATCTGAAGGTGGAATGATTGAACACTAGTGTCCAGAAATTTGCACTCGTCTGAAACGATACTTGACTGTGTAGGTAATATCAAGAATGGGCTTACAGATGCCATTTGGAGAAGGTGACGAGAGATCGTTAGAGATGGGCTTAAAGATGCCATCCAGGGAATATAACCGAGAGTTGTCGGAGATGAGCTTAAAGATGCCATTCGGAAGAATGTTGATTTCATGAGATATTCCTTTGTGGGAATTCCTATGCCTGTTATTAAGGAGGACTCCGCTGAGGAATGTTGGTCTCCGCTTGGGAAATAGAGTTTAGGAGCTTCAGTTGTCCATTACTCTACTGGGGGGTCATCTCTTGATTGAAGAGGCGGAAGTGAATTGCTATCTGGTCAGGATCCAGGCTTCACAATGACTTGTTGAGGATAATAAAGCTGATTGCTATCCGGTCGTATTCAGAGCGACTTACGACGAGACCAAACAAAAAATAGCCATGCGCTACGACACCAAAGTCATACGACGAGAGTTCGAGGTCAGCAGCCTTATCTTAAAGAAAAATCGTAAAGAATCTCGCAAAGGCAAGCTCGAAGCGAACTGGGAAGGCCCTTATCGCATCTACGCAAAAACGGGGACTGGGACGTATTACTTGAAAAACTTACAAGGGGAACAGCCCGTTCGATCATGAAACA